GGAAACAGAGAAATTTTCTGTTTTCTGTTTATCCCGAATGTGTCAAAAAACAAATAGCAACATTTATTATTCGATGAAATGAATGTATTTAATATTTATAATCAACAAAAATGTGGAGTTTGATTATAAAAATAGCACACATATTGATTGATCTTGGAAGAACTCAATTTGCGTCGGTGGAGGTGGAGAGATGACCGTCCTTTCCTCCCGCGATCGCATCTATGCCTATGATGAACTATAGTCATGGATAAATATCCGTAACATGTCCATGTATCATGGAATATGAATATTAATCATTTTTTTATTTTTTAAAAATATTTATTTGTTAATTTCAATACTTTTTGTAATTTTTTAATTTTTTTAATTTTTACAAAAATATCAATCGACATCAATATCTTAGCATATTTTTATCGATATTTCTTTAAAATTGAGACCTGTACATTTCCATCGATACCGAAATTTAAAATTTTTATTATAGCGTAGATTTATTTTATTATCTTTTTTTACAATTTTTAAAATATTTATTTTTAATTATACTGATTTCTGAATTTTTAATCTTTATTTAAAAACAATTATTTTGATTCTTATCATGTCTATAATATATCCCAAGACTAACACGTTAATAAATCATATTATCTATTTTATATATGGCAAAAATAAAGAATCGAAATAGTTAATTTTGATTTAGAGTAAAAAGGAACAATAATAAATTTGAAGGATTATCTTAATTCCTGGTATTATTTTAGTAAAATAAAAATTTTGAAAATTGATAAACTTAAAAGTTTATCCATTAAAACAGAATTTTTTTTTTTTGAAAATAATTGAAATAGAAATTGCAATATTAATGTTATTGAGTTTTTAATCATATTTTATTCATTTTTGGTTTTTGAGATTTAAAGTAGATGTCAACTTGGTTAATGAAAATCCTTTTGGTCACTAAAGTTTGAGAAATAGTTCTAAATGGTCCATCATTTTTTACTATTAATTAACTAATATTAAAATGACGTGGCAAATTGTAATTAAATTATTTATTATAACTGCTGATGTGACAAATTATATTAATTAAATGATATATATCCGGTATGAATGACGGTATGAATGGTGATATGAGTGGCTGACGGTGGCGGCAAAGACGTCGTGTCGCTGGAAAATTGTAGGAGAAAGAGAGAGGAAGAGATGACGAGAGGAGATGAGAGAGAAAGTACTGTTGATGCTTGGACAATTCCAATTCAAATTGCCTTGGGATCTGCAACAACTTCGATGATCAGGGACTTGCAAAATCAAATTAGTCTAAACCGGTGCAACCTTAGTCACACGGACTCCGATGTCAAAGTCAGCTCAATGAACGAAGCAACTTAGTATGGAGTAACTAGTCTCTTTTTTGCCTACCTCTAAGGTTTGCTCTCCCCTTTACTTATAGTCGCTCGAGCTCTTCTAGGATTTTTTCACCACTTGACTTGTAACGGATGGCGGAGGAAATGAGACTTGTAACAAATGACGGAGGGAACAGGGAACGCCAGGCTTGGCCCATGGGCCGAGCCCTACTCGGCCTGGCCCAATTTGGGTCCGCCACTTCGTCAATTCTGTTTGCCTATCGTTTTTTCCTCCTATAACAATTGCCCCTACTCTCAAGGTGATGCTTTTTTACTTTTATGTTTATCTCCTTGAGAGTAAGAGTGTCTGAAACATAGTTACCCCTCCTCGACCGCCGAGCCGGACAATATGGGTTCCCGTGTAGGTGTTATCACATCAACTCGTGGTTTTCCATGCGTTTATTAGCCCGAGACCAAAAACAAAAAGAGGTCTTCATTTTTTGCCCTTTGACCGAGAAGGTCATAGGTTCTTCGAGCAGTGTGTCGAGCCACTTTTGGCTTTATCCCTTTGTTGTGTCAAATCTTCCACCTGACCAAGGAGATCACAGTTGTCTCGTGCAGCGTGTCAAGCAGCTTTTGGCTTCACTCTTTTGCTGTGTCAAATCGTACCCTTGACCGTGAAGGTCACGGGTCTCTCGGAGATTGTGCCAAGCCGGTCTCGGACTGATGGTCACTTCGAGTGGCGGGCCGAGCAATTCTCGCCAGTGGTTAATGACCACTTGTCAAGCACTCTTCTTTCCTTTGGGGGTTATATAAACCTCCCAACACATTCCAATTTCAATCACTCCTTTCCTTCAAGGTAAATTTTCTGATTCATCCTCCTTTTTCTAATTTGCCTTATTCTCATGGCGTCCAGTGATGGTCTTAATTTTGAGTGGACTTCCTCGGATGATGTGTCGTCATCAAATCCTTCGTCTGAGTCTCGACCCTATCGTCCATCCTGTGTGGATAATTCCACTCTTACAGCGAGGGACCTTCGTCGCTTGCGTTCAAAGTACCACATCCTGGATTCGGTTAGCCTTCGTCTTCCAAATCCGGGAGAAAGTATTGATGAATCTTTTCCTGGAGAGGTTGTATTTTATGTAGCCATGTTCCAATTTGGAGTCCGTCTACCGTTGCCTCTTTTTCTTCAAAATTTTGTAGCTTTTAATCAAGTAGCTCATTCCCAAATCATTCTGAATGGGTGGTCTACTTTGATCAGTTGCTTTATTTTGTGGTCGTTCCTCGGGGGCAAGCAACCTTTAACCATCGTGGATTTCATGTCGCTTTATTACCTCAAACACAGTCCCGAGGATAATTTTCACTTTTATGTTAGTTCTCGGAATTAGGTTCTTGTTATGGATCCTTCCTTAGTGAAGCATTGGAAGGACGAGTGGTTCCTTGTCGGTGGCGATTGGCTAGCCCGTGACGAGAGATGACTATACTTCTCTATCCCGACTGAGTATAGGGAGTTAGGTAAGTAGATTCCAGAGCTCTATCGGGACTTTTGTAGACATCAATTCTGATATTTCTCTTTCTTTGTTGACAATTCCTCGTAATTGTGAGCTTACTGTCGAGACGTTCGATTTCTATCATACCATCATCTAGTTACCGGATACCGAGCGTTGGGGCCCAAATCTGGTTAAGGAGTAGAATTTAGTGGACTTTGCCTTGGCTCCCCCTCATAATCCTCCAGGTAATTGTCGAAATCTTTTCTTCGCTTTGCGTGAAAGTCGATTTTTACTTTTATCTCTACTTGTAAAAATGTTGAGACGGAGTGCTTCCCTGTATAAAAGAGAACGTCGTCGTAATGCTCGGAGCTCGGGGGCCAGCTCTAGTCGGCCTTCAGACATTGAGGTGACCGATTTGATAGAGAAGGACCCCCCCATCTCGGCAGGCTCGGCCCCCAATGTCCTCTGCAGCACCTCGGCGTTCTGCTCGGCTACAAAGGACGCTTACTCCCTCTACTTTTCGCGGTCATCCAGGGTCTTCCTCCCACGCTTCAACCTTCCCGTTTTCCATTCCATACAGTGCTAATGTCGATGGTGATGGGATGTGAATCCCGGAGTAGAAGCAGATCTTTGTTCATGATTTTTTGAGAAAACAAAAATAAAGGTGTGAAGAAGAAAATACAGGGGAAACTTATTTTTGCTTACATTTGAAGAACTCTTCTTCAATGATTCAATCTCCCGAACAACACCAAATGGTCTTCCGTGCTATCCTCTGGGTATCGAGATCGGACTTGTGGGAGCAATACGTTTGGAATCTCAGCGAGAATTAAGAGAGAGAGAGCTTGATTGAGAGAGATGTTAATTTTTCAGGTAAAAAGCAGAACTGTACAGAAGAGTTCTGTACAATTTAACCAAATGTGACGTGGGGTAACTCCCCACGGCACAACTTCCCACTCCCCTGCAATTTTGCAGGGGAGTTTTTAACATAGTAATTAATCAATTTAATTATTAAGTATTAATCTAATTAATAATTAATTGATTAAATCTAATATTAATTAAATAAATAAATAACAATTAATTATTTAAAATTAAATATCACATATTTAATGAGATCCATATATTTGAATCTTATTCAAATACATCTTATGCACATTATTGTTAACCTATAGTTTTAATATGAATCTTATTCATATTAATTTTATTTAAATCTTATTCAAATAATTTCTCTCATATATAGTTTTAATTTAGAATTAACTATATATTATAATGTATCAATATACATATAATCCCTTAAGTAATTTGAACAGTTCAAATTCTTCCAAAAACTTGATCCTCGTTTTACCCATTATGAGCTAGCAAGGGGACCTAATGGACCTACAGATCAGAAGCTCCAACGATGCGAGATTAATCGATCAAACCCATTGACCGAGTTAATCAACATTCGTTAACTACGGGTCACTCCACTAAAGACCCGCAGTTGTACTCTTCTCACTGTAGAATGTTTTCGTGTCCATGGATATACGACCATTAATGACAAATCAATCCTTCACGAGTGCTCGTAACTCAAGTTGGGTCAAATTACCGTTTTACCCCTGAGTTACATCTTACTTCTTAAATACCACTGCTCCTCTAATGAACAACCCGGTTATGGTCCGACTAATAACCGGAAGTCCCTCTCGAGCCAATGAGAGGGTGGGGCCCCTTGTTCAAGTCCTGAAGTTAGCATTTAAGAGAACACTCATCTACTCCCCAAAAGTCAGGGAGGAGTGAATGCCATCTTGTGGAGTTATGTTCCCAGCTCCCCACTCGGTCTCGTCTCCAAAATGGTAGGAATATTGAGTCGGCAACTCGAGCCACTCTCACCCATACAGATCAAAGGACGAGCCCTCACGGCAGGAGTCCATAACTCACTCAGGATTGGGAATGAGTTGTTTGGTCATCCTATGAAATAGAAATCTGTTAGTCAACGGCGTTACATCTAAAGATTGACTATTTCACAGTCTGGTCTTATACAAAATCATTGTATTGGATACCCCC